ATTGGACACAGAAAGAAACCAAAACAATACGGACAACCGGCAAAGAAAAAGAGTCAAACTTAATATGTTTAGCTGTTTAGAGAAAAACTGTTATCATCAATTATGATAGATTCAAATTTGAATATAGTATAGCTTGTTCGGACATGAAGGACTTTTGTATTAAATAGTTGTTCAGTGTGTTATGATAGTATCAGCGTTTTTTTTTTTTGCTACAAAGTATCAGCAGTTAATTGTAGATAAGGTGTGTAGGACGTTTACAGTAAACGAAAAAGAGTATAGTTTTAGACTGAACTAGGTTCATAGCCTCCACGCAAGCGCGGAGCCGGAGACAGTGATGATGTATTGTGATGTTTTATGGATGGGATTTTGTCATTTGTTTTGGACATTTTTTTGTTCGGGGTTTAACCAAAAACCCGACTGAATTGAGTTGATATATGAATGAGTGGGAATTCATATACTTTGAAATATTCATATGTCGTTTTAGTAATGATTTTCTCGACTATTTGTGTTATTAGTGCTTTCATGTCCATGATGGGTGGTTTGTTGGGTTGTTATTATCTAATTTGTGGATTGGTAGTATATTATAGTTAAATATTGAATTGGCATTTGAAAAAAAATGTTTTTAAGATTTTTTAAAATTATATAAAGAAATATAGTGTCATGGATTGAATAGAGAAAGGGGAAACATGGTTGTTAAGGGGTTGAGCGAAATGTTTAGGGTTAATATTTATTAGTGAGTAAAGATCTTATTTTATTTTCAGATAAGAGTGTTTAACGAATTCATACGTGTTCTTTTTTTTTTACATTTTTGTACAATTTAATCGGATTTCAACATTATTAGCGATTTAATGACCATATGTAGCCGAACATAGGTATTTGTTAATACACAACTCTAATATGAGAACGAAAAAGAAATAATTTTGTTATCCGAAAAGAAATTTTGTTTGTTTTTTTAATGTGCTGACATGTTTTTGAAAATATATAATTGTAGTTTAATAATACTATAATTTCGTATAGCTACATACTTGTATGAATAAGATAGTTATTTTGTTTGGTATCTGTCAAAATATTTTGTGGTAATTTAAAAAAAAAAAGAGAATGGTAGATTAAAATGTTTAAAGTGATATAGGTCTATATTCGAACATAATGAAAAAGTAGTAGATGGGTTTTATATGTTTGGGCTTGAAATTCGATGGCCCTTGAGTCTCAGTTTAGATCTGAAACTGGAATAACCATTTACTCCCCCTTTTTGTTTCTCCTCGTCGTCTTCAGCAGTGTGACAAGCTTTTGCGATTTTTGGCATGATTGTGTTTTTAGTGTATCAGTTTATAAAATTATAGTTGTTCTATAGTGGCATGGAAGAGAGATTTGCTCACCTCAGTTAAGGCCGTCTCCTCCGCATTCCTTACTAAGTGAACTTCTGTTGATTTGACGTTCTCGAAACCTGCAATAAGAAGGTTTGAATTTTTTGTATTACTTTGTTTCTATTGTTATTATTTTCGTTTACGAAAACTCATACGGAATGATTGAGATTCTATATGTTTAATTTGGTTGGTATGGTTTATGTTTACCTTAAAATAAAGAGAGACTCGAAGGTTGCATGTTGGACGTTGGTGACGCTAGTTTTAGGAACTGGAGAAGCCGAAAGATACATTTTCTAGAAGATGGTTAAAGTTAAGAGGAATCGATGAATTTTGTGAAAATGCAGATAGGGTTCATCAAAGATGAGAATCATATATATAGGGTTTACATAGGGGCTACAAATCAGAAACATTTAAGATCAAGCGATGTAAGATGGATAAATGAAGAGTTCAATAGTGAAAAAAAAAGATTACGAACAGACACACGGCATAGCTCTGTAACTCAGACTTGTCTGAGACGATGATGAAAAGAATCTTAACTCATATTAAACGACGATGGTTTACAATATGGAAAAATTATAACTGTTGTAAGCTTGAGGATTTTATTCATATAACGTCATGAATCCCAATTAAAAATGAAACTCATAATACACTTGAAAGCTCTACCTTTAAAAGAAGCCAAAGAAGCAAGGGTTTCTAGCTTTCATAAATATATATCGATTTCGGCCATCAATGTACAAGTTATCCTTTAGTTTAATGGTATGAATGTTAGTGTTTGTATCTTAATAACCCGGGTTCGAATCATGGGTTTGACTCTTTTCATATTTTTAAAAAAATGGATCCCACCTGATGCTGATGTGGCACACTGAAGAGTCTTGAAACTCAATTATTATAATATAGATTTTTTGTGTATATATATCATAACAAATTGAAATTATTAAAGTATATTATAATCTGTTCTATAAAAGAAACTGTATTTTCACTAAAATTTCATTATATTTTAAAGACCTATAAAATAAATAAAAATTAAAGAAAGATATAACGATGTAGCATAACTTAAAAGTCTAACGTCGCAAAAGGAAACTAATTAGCATAGGGATATAATCATAGATTTACGAGACACTCATAACATTTAGAAAATATAGATATGTAAGATTATCATTATTGAAAGTTTTCCGAATGGTTTCTCAAACATTAAATAAAAAATCTATATAATAATAGTTCATTTTTGAGGCTCCTCAGCGCGTCACGTCAGCAGTTTTGTGGATCTCGTAGGTATTTTGAAACACCCATAGTCTTGGTAAGATGATCACAAACAATGAAATACACTTTAGTCAAGTGGTATAAGGTGTCTAATTAAATATGCAAGATCGTGGGTTCAAACCACGCAGCTATCATATATTTTTGATTTTTTTATTTGGATTATTATCTTATAGGCTTTTTGTTTATAAAGTTTTTATGTTTTTTTTTTGGCTTATTGTTTTAAAGATCAAAATAGTTAGATAAACCCTAAATTTTAACAAATTCAAACCCAAAATAATTAAAAATGAATGCAAAACGAACAATAAAAAAAAAAGCAAGTCTCACGCGGTTGCCTACGTGGATGGCTTAAAGAGCCTTAAAACTATTCTATTATAATATAATTCAACCCAAAAATAATAAAATATAAATCCAAAAACGAACAGACCAAAAAAAAAAAAGTGAATTCCACGCGGCTGCCTACGTGGATGGCTTAATATATATTAAGAGCTCAAAAAGTTAAATCATTGCACATATTTCCTAATATATATTTTCAAAAAATTTGTATGTGAGATAAAATAAAAAAAAAACAACAAAAATTAATTATTATCCTTATTTATTAAATGAATATGTAATTCTCTTACATTTTAATAACTACTATAATTTCATTGAAAATATTCCTCACCATCGATTCGAGACTCCGGCGAATGGATTCCCACAGTCGATGACGCCGTAGATAAAAATGCCACATCATTTATGAATCAAACTTACAAAAAACCATATATAAAAACTTATCTAATGAAACTTAAACAACGAATATTAACTTAATTAAAGTTATTTTCAAATTGATAAATCGTTTAATACAAATATAAATACTATAAATATAGAATTATATCAAGTTTTAATCTACGATATAAAAACTATTTACAGCAAAAAACACCTACTTTTACACACTAAAAACAATATTATAGCCTAACTATTCTTATAAACCTTACTTCGCATATAAATAACATTTAACATATTCCTACTATATTTTCAAAAAATTTGTTTGTAAAATAAAATAAAATAAACAACAAAATTTAAGTATTTTTCGTTATTTATTAAATGAATATGTAATTTCTCTTACATTTTAATAACTACTATAATTTCTTTGAAAACATTTCTCACCACTGACTCCAGACTTCGGCGAATGGATTCCCATAGTCGATGACTCCATAGATAAAAATGCCACATCATTTATGAACAAAACCCAAACTTACAAAAAACATATATAAAAACCTATCTAATGAAACTTAAACAACAAATATTAACTTAATTAAAGTTATTTTCAAATTGATAAATCTTTTAATACAAATATAAATACTATATATATAGAATTATACCATGTTTTGACATACGATATAAAATCTATTTACTGCAAAAAAAAAAAAAAATAGACACCTACTTTTACACACTAAAAACTATATTATAGTCTCACTATTCCTATAAACCTTACTTCGCATATAAATAACATTTAACACATTAGATATACAATATTTTCACTTTACACTCTTACTACATTCTTTCTATTTCATTATTACTAGATGATAACCCGCGCCATGCGCGGAGTGAGCTTTTTAAAAATATATTGTATTTAAATATATATTTTGCTATCATAATTTTTTTACATTTGATTAGAGATAGGCATTTGGATACCATTTGGTTCGGTTAGATTTTGTTTGGTTTAGATCTTTGCGGTTTGGTTCGAATTTTTGCAGGTTCAGATTGGGTTTAGTTCGGATAATCCATTTATTTTTTTATAAAAAAGATTGAAATTCGTATATACTTTAAAATTTTCAAAATCTAAAAGTAAAAAATAATATATAACATAT